GGAGTCGGACAACAGAAATATTCTTTCATATTTGCTGGGAATTTCCCATTTGATAAACATTGACGAAGTTTATGAAAAATCGTGGCGGGACGGTACTGACTACAGTTCGTGGGATCTTTCTTGTTAATGTAAAATGCACAATTATGCTGGTGTGGGTATTCCTCGATGTGTATTCTCGGTAAACTTTCTGTCGTCCAAAAAATCTTCAGGTGATCACTGATCTTCATCCATCAACTAACGTTGGAAGAAATTCTAGTAATGTTAAGTAATAATTCTATCCACGAAGTTTATGTCGGGCATCTGAAAATCCCTTTGAGGCTCAAAAATTGTGCTCGAAAGGTGTTTCTTTCAATCACTCCGGTAATCACAAAGCCGAACGGTTGATAGACTGTTCATGGAATTTTGATATAATGAAGAGTTGATGATTAGTTGTTACCATATTTACTTTTTTGTGAATGTGGAATTGATTGAGTCTTGTATACAAGAAAGATTGAGTAATATCAGGAACAACTACTGGCTTTGTAGATGGGGTAGGCAATTGATTGTTGTCTCCACTTATTTCCAAATCCATACCTTTTCAAATAAATGGGTCTTTTTCTTTGAAAATTTAGTTAAACAATCATTTTGCAGGGTAGAAAGTCACAAGTGGATTCAACCACTCGTTCTCCCATGTTTGCCCAATTGTTTTGGTTTTTGAAGGTAATGGGCATGCTAGTTTGGAAGTGCATATAGGAAATATAGACATAAAAGGAAGAAAAACCGTATGGGGAAGCAATTGATCTATGTCTTTCACATGTATGTATAAATCGAAGGGTGCTTTGGAAGTACTCTCATGTCAGGCCCTTAAAACCTGAAAGTTCCGCTTGGGCAGTGCAGATGCGTATTAACCTATGGGCTTATCGGCAGAACAGTAAAGTTTACAGTCAATGATAACCTCGACTAAACGGAATCACATTGTTAGAAGCGACCTAATAGAAAAAGTAGAAATAGAAAATCAATTGAACAAGTAAAGGGAAATGGATATTTCATTTGTTTTTACTTATTCAAGCAATTTTGGATTGATCAGTGAGTAAATAGAAGTGAGTTAATTTATAAGATTAAAAATAAAATTCATTCTTCGTATAGAATCACAAAAATCAGAAAATCGTTCAAACTCAAGGTTCCGTGGTAAAGGGAAAAGTGCCGTACTATAAAATCTGCATGGTCCGAGTCGATAAATTGGTATCAGACTTGTCTGGGAGGTGGAAGTACAGCCTTGTTCTCAACTGGCCCCCACAAATCTTTGTACCGATGAAATACGCATTCAAAGTGTCATTATGTTTCTCTATGGAAGTCGAGTGCACGTCACATCCCAGAACAAGGTTGATTGGAGTCGAGGCATCTTCCTTTATTCATTATTATTGTTAGTATTATTACTCTTAAATTATTTGGATATAGTTCTTCAACAATATCCTTGTAGGCGCAGTCAATGTGATTCAAAAGCAAATAAATTAAAAATAAGAAGGTGTTCAGTGGGACGATTTTTCAGCATATGAAGGGAAAGTGCGTTCAATCTATCCGTACACTTTTCACTGTACACTTTTTCATTTTCCATCATCAAATACCACCTTTTTTCCGGGCAGCCTTCGTTGGCCGTTTTTTTCTGCCTTCGATACGTACATATCTCGCCTTCTTCCTATCAGCCTGCTGTTACAGTCGTGGGTGCATTCCGGCGGACACATGGGAGTGTGATGGTGGCGCTGTACTAATGACAACTAGAAATCAATGGGTAGGCGTTGGAAAAAATAGAAATCGATCTCGTTCCTGCGTGATTTCGATCTTTCATCCTGGATCTTAAATCCATGAGTGTATGGCGAGCACCTGTTGCCATTTCTCACTTATCTCGATGTCGTTACCCGTGATCGATCTCATGATCCCGATTTTTTGTAATCTAATCGATACTTACAGCTGTTTAACCGAAATGGCCAATAATATTATCCTTGATTTCCAGGGTACCCAAATGGACGATGTTGCTGTCAGTTCGTCATATGAAGGTGGTCTGTCGGTATTGCTGTCAGCATGCGCTCCACCGCTAAGCCTCGACGACGACTTTGGTCTTGGATGGGATTGCTTTGATCGGAAAAAGGACGTGAAAAGTGGTATGCCTCAAGACCGTCCTGTAGTATTCTCTGAAAATCCTACTCGAGCACATTTCCCTGACTTATTCCCTTCGGGCAGAATCGATGTTCTCCATTAATTGCGATTTCATCAAGTCCTCTTGCTTCGGTTTGTTTTGTGCTCGGCTGACTCCTAAAAATGTCGCCAGTTGGCTTTACTGCCCCATCCAAAGCGGATCAACAAAGCGGTTAAACGTTTGTTTAATTCGTAATTCATGGCCAATTTGGATTCCATGTTTTTCATTTTGTTCCGTTCCGAACGAACCAAAAAAAAGAATGATTCGCTTGAAGTCAGTGAAACCCCAAGAGTCACGCCATGAATTCGACCCTCAATGGCGTCTGACAACTTGAACTGAATCCGATTGGAAATTCATGTTTCGAACAATCTGTGCGGGCCCTTGCTGATACCATATTTAGGTCTTTCAGGGAATTGAAAAGATTTTTTGGCTCAAAATTGATTTCAAGATTAAAACTTCTCTTCTGTTCTATCGTATGCTCTGCTGAAAGGTTTTTCGTTTAGATTCATTTGATGATTTCGATTCGACAACAAATTCACCATTATCACATCTTGGAGTTGAATCCGAATCTTCTTCACCGTCATCATTAACCTGTAGCTTGTCTCCTTTGGATTTGGATTGTGGTCAGTTTTGATTACGAACTGATGCTTCGGAGCAAGCAGGCAGTATAGCAATTGCGACATCACTCTATTAGGGAAATTACCTAAGGAAGAGGTCATATTTCAGGCCTAAATTACGGGCTAGTAGGTGGGGGAGGGTTAGGAGACAGGGAAGATGAGGGGACAGGTTTGGCAGAGCAAATCATTACAGTGCCGTATAATTTTGTTAGCTTGCTATGGTATTAGGGCAGGAAAATGGGTCATTCATCACATTAAGGTATCATATCAAGGAAACTTTAGGAGATAGGGAGAGGGGAGACGCAGAGTTGGGAAAGGGAAGGGACGGGAGTGTGAGGAAGTTGTATATCTGGTTAAACCAGTAATACCTACACGCTACTAACACCAGCGTAAATATTCCGTAAATATTCGAGACTGTTCATTTTTTTAATGACATTCCTATTTGTTGACTGGTTTAGACACTTCGCTTCCGTCTTTTTCCTATGATGAATCGCCTTCACCACTTCTCGGTATGCCCGATCCGATTGTACCAGCGATGGTTATGGATGACCCATTCGCTGTTGCTTCTGTACCGACACGGAGACCTATTATGGGTGAGTGCTCACATTTGGGAAAAAGATTCACAGAGACGTCTTGTTGGTGTATACAACCTTTTATTACTTTTTTGACGGATCTCTGCTTCAGTTCGGAAGCGTATGCATGAATGTTCAATGGTATGCTGGCTTTTCCGGACCTTACTCACTTCCGAATATCGTGCTCTGCCATTGAATGCCATCTTTGAAATTTTTGAGGATACTGTTAGTCTCTTTGTGTTCAAATACGACTGTGACCATAGAAGTTTCGCTTCGATGCAATTCTTACTGTGCCTTTTTTGCAGAACCCCTCGTCAGCCCATGGCCGTCATTGGCGTCAGTCCATTCGGCATTGTCTAATGTCATCTGCGGTTTTCGTTCGCGTCCTAACACCAAATGTTTGTTGACAATTCTAATTGATTTTATTATTATTATTATTATT